CATCATCCAGCAAGATGATGTTTTGTAGCTGGTGTGGATTTCATCCTGTAAAGTACGCTCTAACTTAATGGAGTGCTGAAATGCTGAAGTCAGTTTGGTAATTTGATGCAAGACTTTGATGCACAGTCTTGGTGTTAACAGTCAAACTAAAGGAAAACTGATGTTTCTACTCTCTAGGTTCAGTAGCTCCGTTCATTTGCAATGGCTGAAGCATCCGCACTTAATTTCATGATTCTGTGTTTGAAAAATTAAGACATTTAATCTTCAGCCGCACTTACCCTGGTATAACCATATCACAGTTGAATCCTGAGAGAATGCATTCAGTATTCCTTTCTGTTGGTGTCCCACTGCCTCACCGAAATGTCTGAGTGACTTAAACTTGATAGTTTTTGTGCTGAATATTTGAACTGGATCCTTATGTCTTTTTGTTCTAGGTCAATTTCACCTACCAGTTTCTGAGGAAGAAGTTTTATATTTTCAGCCAGTTCATGTATGATGAACACATTAAGTCTCGCCTAATCAAAGACATTCGATTCTTTAAGGAGACAAAGGACCAAAATGATCAAAAGGTATCAATGGACTTGTTAAATTATTGAAATGCAGTTTATCTTTGTACAGTGTCCTATGATGAGTGTATACCAGTTTTGATGTGTTTTTATACATTCTTAATGATTTATTAAAAAGAGTTCGTTTCCTCTCAGAATAGCAATAAGTGGAAGGGGAAAATATAAAGCAAGTAATTATACAACAGTGTGACCACTTGACCCCAGGAAAATTGAAGGAATCATGGCATATGATAAACCCAAAAACTACCGTGTCATTGTTCACTGCAGTGTTAGTTTTACTCCTCAATTTAGTCATAGGTTAGTCAAGTGATTTCAAGCAATTAGTTAGAGGATTAAAGTGGAGTTGAGTAATTTTTTCACGCAGAGGATGGTGAAGTTTTGAACTTGGGCCTGAAAAAGGGTGGCATAGGCAGCAACTCAATGCAATATAAAAAAATGTACTTGGTGACCTCCAGAGCTCCAGACTAAGCTGAAAGGTGGAGATAGCTTGGATAGGTCTACTTTTGCTAACACAGAAACGATGAGCTGTATGATCTCTCTTTGTGTGGCAAATTTTTGTTTCTATGAACCAACTAATTCTTGTTCATAGTATCCTTTTGACCGTGCAGACAAGTTTAATCGCGGCATCAGAAAACTTGGACTAACTCCAGAGGGACAGAGTTATCTTGACCAGTTCAGGCAGCTTATTAGCCAAATAGGTAAGTGACTGAAAGCGATCTTTGCATGCATGTCGCACAATAACATATTTCAACATTTTTCTGTCTTTCTAGTTCCAGATTGTGATTTTCTGGTATTGCGATAAGATACTTATTTAATTGCACCTATGCAAAGATAGACTGGGGTCCGTAAATTGACTATTTTGTGAAAAAGCCTGGTGAATAGGATGACACTGTTAGATAATCAATGGAAACAGTGGTCACATTGAATTTGGAAACTAAAATTTTACAGTTACACAAGTGTCAAGTGAAGGGTGATATTCATAATGCAATTCCATTTGAAACTAGCTATTTCAGTAAAGGGTAACTGAATGATTTCCAGGATGTGGTCACTTCTGGCCTTTTGCAATTAGTTAGAGGATTAAAGTGGAGTTGAGTAATTTTTTCACGCAGAGGATGGTGAAGTTTTGAACTTGGGCCTGAAAAAGGGTGGCATAGGCAGCAACTCAATGCAATATAAAAAAAATGTACTTGGTGACCTCCAGAGCTCCAGACTAAGCTGAAAGGTGGAGATAGCCCCAAGCCCTGCTGGACCCAGCTGGTATTTTGTGAGGTTCTACCATGGTGAAGGCAGAGGAGCTTCGACTTCAGAGGACCTCTGGATCCTCTGGGAAGAGGGTTTTTTTTTTCTTAAGCCGTATCTGAGGAAGACAGTGGGAAAGCACCCCATGCTTCCTTTGTCCATGGTAAAAAATGGTTAATGCAAACAATTCTTATCAAGAAAAGAGTGCAAATGTAGTTGAATCGCTCCTATTAAGATCTGTCTTGGTATGGATATCCAGGACCTGTAGGTGGGCCCTGTTTATTACAGTGATGCTGTGTAACTGTCAGAATTCTATGGAACAAGCTTAAGAGAAGAAAAGCTGACACTAAAAGAATTTCTTGAATGAAGTGAAACATGAAAAAGGTGTCACAGTGGCCTAAAAGACAACAGATTAGGTTCTTTAGACATGTTATCTACGAAGAAGGCTTGGAGTGCTTGATATTACCCAGAACTTTCAACAGAATTTAGAAAATTTGGAACACTGCGGCCACTTATGCCATTTGGCATGGTATTTGCATGGCAACAACTTTGCATAAACCACAATTTGAACCTACTTCCTGTTGGTGTGTGTACCTCTGCGCCATATTTTATGTTTTGACCCACAGTGACCAGAGAGATGAAAATTGAATCTGACCACCATCATCCCCCAGCCCAATCAGATGACCGGATCATTTCAGTCTCTAATTAGATACTTTCTTTGATGTTCCCACCTTCTTCACTGACTTGATATGTTGGTTCCTGACCTTTTCCCTTTCTTGTTACACCATACATCCAACATATCGGTGTCCAGTCATTGGTGTCCTGTTCTTGATGTTGCCTAGGTTTCTGCACAACAACGCCAGTCTCACAGCTGACTTGTAGATTCCTTCCTTCAATTTCTGCACTACTTGAACTTCTAATTACACCAACCAAAGTTAATTCAGTTTTCAATTCCATAATAATCTTCTGCCAGCACCAACTATAGGTTCTTGAAGTCACTTACTTCCTCCACGTCTTCGTCCAGAACCGTGACACTCTGATTCTGATCCTGTTCCCCTCTCACAACTCTTTGTTCAAAATCTATTATGTCTCTAACTTTTTCCTGTACTGATGAAAGGTCAATGGGCTGAAATGTTAACTGTTTCTCTCTTCCCCTGGAGAGTTGAGTTTTGTACCTTTTACTTTCTTCATTTCAACTTGAGCATGAATTAGCAAACAATTTGTGGAGAGTATAGACTGTAAATTACACAGTAAGTGGAAGATACAATATTCGATCTCATGAGTGTACTGGGCAGGCCATTTAGCATACATGGTCCTAATTTCGCCAGAAAGACCTTCGAAGTTAGCAACTTGCTCAGGTCAAATTCCAACTCTGTCACTGAGGATCTAGCCACCAATCCTCATCTGACAGTAGCTTCCAACCGACCCTGAGTTCCATACGCATGTTCTTCACTAAAATACTGTGTTTCAGAATCTTCTCAGCTCACAACAGTCTTTGTGGCATGGCTGAACCAGAAATACCTTTATCTCAACCTTCGGTAACAACCCTGTGCAATGCATCATGGAATCGCAGAATTGTTATGGTACAGAAGGAGACCATTTGGTCCATCCAGTCCACACTGGTTCCATTGTGTAGTGCCAATCTTGTGCTGGGATATGTGGAAAAGGCACACCATTGATCATTCAATACATTCTTGAATGCTGTCTCCACCACATTTCCAGGCACAATGTTGAACCTGTCTCCACCACATTTCCAGGCAGTGCATTCCAGACCCTAAGTACTCATTGTGTGAAAATGATTTTGCCCACATCACTCTTGTTTCATTTACACATCGCTTTAAATCTATGCCCTCTTGTACTTTTTTTTTTCCTTTTAATGGTGGGAGGAGCTTCTCCCTACCTACTCTGCCCACCCTGCTCATGAATTTTAAAACCTCTATCAGATCTCCTTTCAGACTTCTTTTCTCCAAGTAAAACAGTCCCAACTTCTTCTGTTTATGCTCATCACTGATTCTTGTAAATCACTTCTGCATTCTCTCCAATACGTCCTCATCTTTCCTATAATATGGTGCCTAGAACAGTATACAATACTTCAGCTGAGGTCTAACAAGTGTCTTGTAAAAATTCAATATCACCACCTTGCTCTAGTACTCTTTGCTCTTGGTTTTATTAATAGGGGCAATAAACGCTTTATTAACTGCACTCTCTATCATGAAGCTGGTGCTGGTCAATCTGTTTCTTTAGAACAACTGAGGCAGCTGCAATCACCTTGGAGATCGCAAGAACTGCACATGTTGGAATCCATTGATAGTGTGGAGCTGAAGGAACACAGCAGGTCAGGCAGCATCAGAGGAGCAGGAGAATCAATGATTTTGGCCTAGACCCTTCATCACCTTACTTTCCTTTATCTCAGAGCGTCCTTGTGTTCAGTTTTTTTTCAAATGCTTGCACTGCATCATGGATGATCTGAGCTTTAATGCCACTGCATTTTTTTGTCTGGTTTCAAATGGTTTCAGTTTCCTTAGAAACCCGAAAGTTCAGATTCCCTTTTAGTCAGGATTTTACTGAAAAAAGTACTGATTTAAAATGCGGGTCAGTGCACTCAACAGAGCATTTGCCAAGTCACCAGTTCAGGCATCAGCTGTTGCATACTCTCCCACTGGCCCTGTGATTTCTGTCACAGCAGGTCCATACTTCTGTTATCTTGCCCGGTCCCACCACTTTGCCATTTTCATTCCTTTCAGTGCAATTCTGATTGCTTCCAGATTGATGCTAGTTGTCATTTCTTGATTTTCAACTACCTCTTCTACCTTTTGTCCTTGGGTTTTCTTCATTCATAAGCCACTTAAAGTATTGATTGATTTGATTTATTGTAGTCACATGTACCTAAACACAGTGAAAAGCTTTGTTTTGCGAGCAGTACAGGCAGATCATAGCAATATATTTCGCTTGGGAACCCTGCAGCCCAGTGGTATCAATGTGGACTTCACCAGCTTCAAAATCTCCCTTCCCCCTTACCACATCCCAAAACCAGCCCAGCTTGTCCCCGCCTCCTTAACCTGTCCTTCCTCCCACCTATCCCCCTCCTCCCACCTCAAGCCCCACCCCCATCTCCTACCTACTAGCCTCATCCCACCCCCTTGACCTGTCCGTCCTCCCTGGACTGACCCATCCCCTCCCTAACTCCCCACCTACATGCACCTTTACTGGCTCCATCCCCGCCTCTTTGACCTGTCTATCTCCTCTCCACCTATCTTCTCCTCTATCCATCTTCTATCCACCTCCCCCTCTCTCCCTATTTATTTCAGAACCCCCTTCCCCTCCCCCATTTCTGAAGAAGGGTCTAAGCCCGAAACGTCAGCTTTCCTGCTCCTCTGATGCTGCTTGGCCTGCTGTGTTCATCCAGCTCTACACCTTGTTATCTCATATACAAATCATATGGTGCTTAGACAGAGCGAGGCATACACGGTTACGGCTGCACAGGGGTTGCGCAAAGCAAAATCAACATTAGCAAGATCAACATTATTTGAAAATTGGAGAGGTCCATTCAGCAGTTTAATAGCAGCAGGGGAGAAGCTGTTCTTGAATCTGTTGGTGTGTGTTCAAGCTTCTGTATCTTCTGCCTGACAGAAGAGGTTGGAAGAGAGCATTACTGGGGTGGGATGGGTCTTTGGCAGCCTTTCAGCGGCAATGAGGTGTGTAAATGGAGTCCATGGATGGGATATTGTCTTCCGTGATGGTCTGGGCTGTGCACACAACTTTCTGCAGTTTCTACGTCCTGGGAAGAGCAATTGCTATACAAGGCTGTTATGCACCTGGATAGAATACTTTTTATGGTGCACTCAGCTCTCTTGTCTATCATCCAGGGATGGGCAATAAACGCTGGCCTAGCCAGCAATGAGGATATCCCGTGAATGTACTTTCAAAAAGCTTCTTTACCCAGGAAATGATGAGAATGTGGAAGTTATTATCACAACGAATAGTAAAGATAATTAGATTATGCGTAAGGGAGAAAGAGATAGAAGGATATGGTTTGGTAAAATGAGATAGAATGGGAGGACGCTTGTGTGGAGGATAAATCAGTTTCTTGAAGTCATTTGATATTGGGGAAATAAAAGCTGGCCTAAAAGATGAATATCAATATGTATAATTAGTTCAAATGCCTTGTATCTGTTGAACATGTTATTCTGTATATTTAATATGCCTTGTAGGGAATTGGCGTGCCAACGTATAGAGTAGTAAACTGGTTGTTTAGTCATACTAAAAATGCCTGAGTTGGAATGAGAACATAGGCCATGGAGCATTGTCCCCTCCTTATGATGCCATATAACTTTGTACAATAGGTAAATTTGTTTTCTACTTTAATGGTTTTTCTTTTAGGAAATGCAATGGGCTACGTTCGGATGATTCGATCTGGTGGACTACATTGCTGTAGTAATGCAATAAGGTATTGTTTAATTACAAAAGTTCATATAATTATTTCAAATGTGGCACAGTCAGCTTGAGTTGACATTGATTCAGTCCTGCTTCAGATTTGTTCCAGACTTGGAAGATATTGTGAACTTTGAGGAACTTGTAAAAGAAGAAGGACTTTCAGAGGAAACTCAAACAGCTGCCAGGTAACATAACCAAGGATTGGCTGCAGCTAAAACTAAATCTTAACCTTGGAGAGGACCCTGTCAAGCCAAGTACATTGAATATAAATGAAGTTATCCACATCACACCTTTCCTTTGCCTTGTAATTATCCCCACTGTGGAAAATTTCAGAGGCTACAGCTGAGATTAGATTGGTTTCAGGGATGTGAGGTCACAGTTATGTGGATCGAGTAGAGATACTGGAGTTGTTCTCTTTGGGGCAGACAGAGCTAAGAGGAGATTTGAACAAAATCTTCAATGTCATGGAGAGTTTAGATCCATATTTCCCAAACTGTGACCCCATTTTGAAAATCCACCAGCACGCCCCCCACCCCCGCATGCATGCCCACACACCGCCACCACCACCGCCGATGGGTGCAGAGAATAGTGGAATCGGAAAGCTGAGAGAGCAGGCTGGGGTGGAGAGCTGAGAGAGTAGAGATGGTGCTGTTTAGACTGCAGAGTTTTTCAATTAAGAAACACCTACCTTTTCATCGGGTTTCTCAGAGCAAGAATCGGGCCTAAAAGGTTGGCCGTTGAGTCCACATCTATCTTTTGAAAAATGATGGGAAATTAAGTCGAAGCTCCAAAACAACCATTGCTGACTCAAACAAAAACAGAAATCGTGAGAGAAACTCACCAGGATCTGGCAGCATATTTGAAGAGAAAGCACAGTTGACATTTCGAGTCCAGTGACCTTTCAGAACTGATGGCAGTTAGGAAACGGTGGTTATGTAAGCTGAGGACAGGGTGGAGTGTGGTGGTTGCAGTAAAGGAATAAGCGTTAGATAGAGATGAAGCACAGAGGGAGATAAAGACAGTTGGGCAGAAAAAGAGATGGGTAATCATAAGCTGGGGAGAAAGAAAAGCGGATATTTGGAACCATATGTAGGTATGATTGGGTTGGCTGGTCTAAAAGCAATCCGTGTCATGGAAGGTCCTAAGGTGAGGGAATTGGTAAAGGACGTGGAAGAAGGTGTGAAGGTTGCAGGGTCCCCAAGCAGAAAGTGAGATGCTTTTCTTCCAGCTTGCACTGAAGCTTGCTGGAACATTGCAGTAGGCCCAAGACAGAAATGTTGGCCGGGGAACACAGTGTGTTGAAGATGCTACCTAAAAGCTCATGGCTGCAAAATGCCAGACTCACCAGCCTTACTGCAGGCCACAGTCTGAGATACCTGGCTTTAAATAAGAGCAGCTATCCCCAATGGGCAGAGATCACCAACCAGAATATACCATTTATGAAAGGACCAGAGGTGATTTTTGATTAAATATTTATACCTGGACAAAAAAAAAACAAACCACATTCCTACCAGATTTCTCCGCTTTTACAAGCTACCTGCCTTGTGTGGCTGGGGATATTACTGCCATGTATTTCATAATTCCTCACATTAAATAGATTATGGTGTTTGCAGTGAGTTTTTATTTTAGCTATGTTTGTTCTTAAATATTAGACAGCTAGATTCTGTCCTTACTGATCTCACTCGAAACTCTGCTGAGGGGACTGAATACTTCAAGATGCTGGTAGAGGTTTTTTCTCCTGAATTCCGCAGTTCTAAGAATATGCACCTGCGAAACTTCTACATCATTGTGCCACCACTGGTCAGTATACCTGTCTATTTCTGTTTACTTACGGATTCCCTGATATACTAGTCGATACCCTTGACATCATACAGAGGGATTCATGACTGAGCATAAATTTTCAGAATAAACCAATTTAGAGGGTAGCATTCCAATAAGATACATTCCATCAAAAAAAAACTCTCAACCAAAAAAAAAATCCATCCTTGGCTTTCCAAGGCAGTTCATGGTGGTATTAGATTAAGGAGCTTATAATGCTGCAAAGATTAGTCGGGTAAGCTTGAGACTTGGGAATGCTGTAGAAACTATTAAAGGACAATCAAAGAAACAAAAATAGCAAATGTGAGTAACCTGACCAGCAATATACAAACGGATTGTATCGTCAAAACTCACATTAAAAAAGAAGAGTAGCTAAAATGAAAGCTGTCACTGAGGCACTGGTAGGAGAAATTCACACCAGGAATGTGAAAATTGAGAGCATTTGTATCATTGATTACAAGTAAACGCAAGTTTCTTACCAGAAATGGACAGTCACCAAGGAGCCAATAAGTGAGCACATTAGGGTAATTAAAACAGAGAAAAAGTATGGGAAAAACTTGGAACTAAAGACTGACAAATCCTCAAGACCTGATGGCCTCCAGTCTGTGTTCTAAAAGAGGTAATGGATATGCTATCTATGAATTTCCAAAGTTCCACAAAGTCTGGAATAGCCCCTGCAAATTGGCAGTTGCCCAATGTAACACCGCTATTCAAAGGAGAAAATTAGAAAACAAGAAAACTCTAGACCAGTTAACCTGGCATTAACTGTCAGGAAAATACTGTGTGCAGTTTGGTCTCTACCCTATCCTATGGAAGGCTACATTTACAGTGGAGGAGGAGGTACCACAGAAGGTTCACTAGTTTGTTCCTGTGATGAGACAATCCTTACTATAGGGGACTAAGTAATTTGGATCCATAATTCCTGGAGTTTAGGAGAATGAGAGTGATCTATTCAAATATGTAAGGTCTGGAAGGAGCTTGACCAAATGAGAGAAGTTCTTTCCCTGGCAGGGAAATCCAGAGCACAAAAGCACAATCTTGAGACAAAGGGTCAGTGGTTTTGGACTGAGATGAAGAGAAATTTCTTCATTCAAAGGCTTGAAAATTTTTGGAATTCTCTACTGCAGATGTTCCATAATTTAATATGATATTTAGTATCTCACAGACTTAAGGGGTATGGGGAACTAGTCACAAAATGGTGTGAATGCAGATGATCAGCTATGATTGTGCAAAATAGTGTGAAAATGAGGTATCTCAAAGTGCCACCATTGGTAGGCTGGTATAATTAGTGACGTGTTTATGTAGTGAGTTACCATTGCAAATGTGGTCGCAGGAATTTATAATGATAATAGCTACCAGGAAATTTGTTCAGATAGAAATATTTTATATACAGAATTGCTTGATTAGATAATTAATTTGTAGATTTACCTGTATGAAGACCAAGCTGACCTAAACTTTTTCTAATTGTAGCCAATTAACTATCTGTAACAGTCTATTAATTTTGATTTTTTTTCAAGTTACTAATAGATGTGACTGGTTCCTTTCAGACATTAAACTTTGTTGACCATTCAATAAGTTGTAAGGAGAAGTTGAATAAGAAGAATAAAGTTGGAGCTGCCTTTACCGATGATGGCTTTGCAATGGGTTAGTTGAAATGCATCAGAGTTTTCAGGAATTTCCTGTGGTAAATCATGAAAGGTTGGGCCAGTGATTAACACAAATTATCAACAAATGAAGAATAGCTCGGAGTCCAGGAGCACAGTGTAGCCTGTTGTCAGTTTCAATGAATTCTAGTTTCTCTTATTCATTCATGGAATGAGGGCATCGCTAGCTAGGCTAGCATTAATTGCCCATCCCTAATTGCTCAGAGGTCAATTTAGAGTCAACCAAATTACTTTGGCTCTGGAGTCGCATGTAGGCCAGTCCAGATAAGGATGGCAGTTCCTTTTTCTAAAGGATATTTGTGAACCAGATGGGATTTTCCAACAATTGGCAATGGTTTCATGGTCCTCGTTAGACTCTTAATTCCAGATGTTTATTGAATTCAAATTCCACTATCTTCCATGGTGGCATTCAAACCTGGGTCTCGGGATTAACAGTTCAGCAATAATACCACTAGGTAATCTAATAGATTGCACATCATGGTGGTTGAGAGCCGAGCAGGTAATTGAATGGAAAATTAACTTTAGCTTAATTCGCCTCTTTAAATTGTGTTCCAAATAAAATGCTTTTTTCGCATTTATTCCAAACAGCGTGCAGAGCTCCACTTTTCTAGCACTGTCCAGATTTGTCGTCAAACCAGCAGCATGTGTTAATGCACTGGAATGAAGAATTTGAATGGATTTGTTTTGGAGCTGAATCCTTTACTATCATAAAATGTCCAGTTCTGGCACCACACTTTAGGAAGGATGTGAAGGTTTTTGAAAGGCTGTGAAGGGATTTACAAGAATGATTCCAGTAATGATAGACTTCAGTTATGTGATTGGATTGAAGAGATTGGGCTGTCCTGCTTAAAAACGCTTAAGAGGAAATTTGATAGGGGTGTTCAAAATGATGAGTGTTCTGCGCTGAATTAGATGAAGGATCTAAAACTAGGGCACATTCATTTAAGATGATTCACAAAAAAAATGGCAACATGAAGATGAACACTCTTTTAAGGATCTGGAATGCACTGCCTGACCATGTGGTGGAGCCAGGTACTGTCAGGATTTTCAAAATAGAATTGAACAGTTACCTGAAGGGAAAATATTTGTAGCACAGGACAAGAGCAAAAAAAAACAGGCTGACTGGGTTGCTCTTGAAAGGGGCTGGCATGGGCAAAATATGTGCCTCGTGTGCTGTAACTAATCTCATTGTAAGGGGAGTTGCCTTGCCCCTCTTGTTCTCTCTTTCCTCTCCTCTTCCAAATAGTACACCTCATAAATGCAATCAGGGATTTGAAGAAATAGTCAATCGAGCAGTGATAGGAATCAGGCAAAAGATTGTATTTCAGTCAGGCTGAGCCAGACACACTTCGTGGGTCCACTCTGCTTTGACTGGTTGTGCTTAGACACTGTTGAATTAGAAAGGCATCCAATATCAGTGAGTTCCTCAGAATTCTCTCTCTCTCTGCCCCATCCTCCCAGGATCTTGCCTAGAACAGTTGAGTTCAGAGTTCTGATGTTCAAAATCTAAATGTTTCAATCTGTGAAGCAACCAAATTGATTGTTCTTCCGAGACAACAAGGTGCAGAGCTGGATGAACACCGGGCTAAGCAGCATCATAGGAGCAGAAAGGCTGACGTTTCGGGCCT